CCTGGGAGTAGTAATGTCTGAGGATCTCACTTTCAAGGATCACAACAGTGCCACGATCGCACGTGCAAAGAAAATGATAGGATGGATAATGAGAACTTTCAAAACGAGAGATGCCAAGCCCATGATGATCCTTTTCAAATCACTTGTTCTCTCTAGGCTGGAATACTGCTGTACATTAACATCTCCATTCAAAGCAGGTGAAATCGCAGATCTAGAGAGTGTACAGAGATCCTTTACTACACGTATAAGTTCTGTCAAGCACCTTAACTACTGGGAACGCTTGGAAGCACTTGACTTGTACTCGTTGGAACGCAGGAGGGAGAGATATATCACAATATACACTTGGAAAATCTTGGAAGGAATGGTCCCAAATCTGCACACAGAAATCACTCCCTACGAAAGTAAAAGACTGGGCAGGCGATGCAAAATGCCCCCAATAAAAAGTAGGGGCGCCATTGGTACACTAAGGGAAAACACCATAAGTGTCCGGGGCCCAAAACTTAGGGGAATTGCCAATAAACCCCTGGCTGCCTTCAAGAGAGAGCTGGACAGATACCTAAAGTCAGTGCCGGATCAGCCGGGCTGTGGCTCGTACGTTGGACTGCGTGCGGCCAGCAGTAACAGCCTAGTTGATCAGGCCCTGATCCATCGGGAGGCCTGGTCATGGACCGGGCCGCGGGGGTGTTGATCCCCGGAATAACCTCCAGGTAACCTTCGGAGCTCACACCACCAAGATGGAATACTCCCCGTCCTCAGAAGCTTTCACTCATCTTCCTCAACATTTAGTCCGTTCTCTCCTTAATAACTGCACACCATCCCCAACACTGACCCGGACCTCTTCCTCTTTCTTAATATTACACACAAACTATTTTTAACACTGCACACGATACACTTGGTTCATTTAATACAAAAATTTACTTAAAAGTTAAATAATAAGCATTACAATGAACAAGTGGGCCTGATCTAGTATCACTTGCCACCCTGTGGACCTGCGGGCCGATACCACAAACAGCCTGGTTGAAAAGGATAACAGGAAAGCCTGATCTCAGGACAGACTGCCGAGGTAAAATAACAGCCCTGGAAATCATTCACAGACAAAATTAAGTCATATAAACCACGGCTTCATCTGTAAGTATGTATTATCTTTCTTATGTGGCAAACCTGTGACCAGTTTCGAGAGGTTCTACCCTCTCAGCTCGCACAGGCTACCCTACCTTGCATAATCTTAAAACCCATTTTCATTTACATTTCCAATTTAGCTGAGGAAAGTGCTAATTACACTTACCTGATCATCGCTTCAGACTACCCGAATATGAAGGGGGAAGAAATCAAAACCTGCAGACAAAAGCAAAGCGTGTATAATGAAGCAAATGTGGGCGCATAGTTATGGGAGGTGAAGCAGGACTGGTGTGTGTGTGGTGTGTGGGGTGTGTGTGGGTGTGTGTGTGGGTGTGTGTGTGTGTGTGTTGTGTGTGTGTGTGTGTGTGTGTGGTGTGTGTGGTGTGTGTGTGGTGTGTGTGTGTGTGTGTGTGGTGTGGTGTGTGTGTGTGGTGTGGTGTGTGTGTGGGTGTGTGTGTGGTGGGTGTGTGTGTGTGTGGTGTGTGTGTGTGTGTGTGGGGTGTGTGTGGGTGTGTGTGTGTGGTGTGTGTGTGTGTGTGGGTGGTGTGTGTGTGGGTGTGTGTGTGGTGTGTGGTGTGGTGTGTGTGTGTGTGTGGTGGTGTGTGGTGTGTGTGTGTGTGTGAGTGTGTGTGTGTGTGTGTTGTGTGGTGGGGTGGTGTGTGTGTGTGTGTGTTGTGGTGTGTGTGTGTGTGTGTGTGTGTTGGTGGGTGTGTGGTGTGTGTGTGTGGTGTGTGTGTGTGTGTGTGTGGTGTGTGTGTGTGGGTGGTGTGTGTGTGGGTGTGTTGGTGTGGGGTGTGTGTGTGTGTGGGGTGTGTGTGTGTGGGTGTGTGTGTGTGGGTGTGTGTGGGGTGTGTGTGTGGGGTGTGGTGTGTGGGGGTGTGTGGTGTGGGGTGTTGTGTGTGGGGGTGTGTGTGGGGTGTGTGTGGGGTGTGTGTGTGTGGGGTGTGTGTGGGTGGTGTGTGTGGTGTGTGTGTGGGGTGTGGTGTGTGTGGGGTGTGTGTGTGGGGTGTGTGTTGTGGGGTGTGTGTGTGTGGGGTGTGTTGTGTGGGGTGTGTGTGTGTGGGGTGTGTGTGTGTGGGGTGTGTGTTGTGTTGGGGTGTGTGGGGTGTGTGTGTGGGGTGTGTGTGTGGGGTGTGTGTGTGTGGGGTGTGTGTGTGGTGTGGTGTGGTGTGTGTGTGGGGTGTGTGTGTGGGGTGTGTGTGTGGGGTGTGTGTGTGGGGTGTGTGTGTGTGGGGTGTTTGTGTGTGGGGTGTTTGTGTTGTGGGGTGTTTGGGGTGTGGGGTGGTTGTGTGTGGGGTGTTGTGTGTGTGGGGTGTGTTGTGTGGTGGGGTGTTGTGTGTGTGGGGTGTGTGTGTGTGGGTGTGTGTGTGTGTGGGGTGTGTGTGTGTGGGGTGTGTTGTGTGGGGGTGTGTGTGTGGGGTTGGTGTGTGTGGGGTGTGTGTGTGTGGGGTGTTGTGTGTGGGGTGTGTGTGTGGGGTGTTTGTGTGTGGGGTGTTGTGTGTGGGGTGTTGTGTGTGGGGTGTTTGTGTGTGGGGTGTGTGTGGGGGTTTGGTGTGGGGTGTGTGGGGGTGGTTGGTGTGTGTGGGGTGTTGTGTTGGTGTGTGTGGGTGTGTGTGTGTGGGGTGTGTGTGGTTGTGTGTGGGGTGTGTGTGTGGGTGTGTGTGTGTGGGGTGTGTGTGGGTGTGTGTGTGGGGTGTTGTGTGTGGGGTGTGTGTGTGGGTGTGTGGGGGTGTGTGTGTGGGGTGTGTGTGTGGGGTGTTGTGTGGGGTTGTGTGTGGGGTGTGTGTGGGTGTGTGTGTGGGGTTGTGTGTGGGGTGTGTGTGGTGTGTGGGTGTGTTGTGTGGGTGTGTTGTGTGTGGGGTGTGTGTGTGTGTGGGGGTGTGGTGTGTGGGGTGTTGTGTGTGTGGGGGTGTGTGTGTGGGGTTGTGTGTGGGGGTTTTGTTGTGGGGTGTTGTGGGGGTGTTTGGTGTGGGTGTGTGTGGGTGTTTGTGTGTGGGGTGTTTGTGTGTGGGGTGTTTGTGTGTGGGGTGTTTGTGTGTGGGGTGTTTGTGTGTGGGGTGTTTGTGTGTGTGGGTGTTGTGTGTGGGTGTGTGTGTGTGGGGTGTGTGTGTGGGGTGTTTGTGTGTGGGGTGTGTTGTGTGTTGTGGGGGTGTTTGTGTGTGGGGTGTTGTTGTGGGGTGTTGTGTGTGGGGTTTGTGTGTGGGGTGTTTGTGTGTGGGGTGTATGTGTGGGGTGTGTGTGTGTGTGTGTGGGGGGTGTTTGTGTGTGTGTGTGGTGTGTGTGTGTGTGTGTGTGTGTGTGTGTGTGTGTGTGTTTCGCCTTCGTAGGTGGGTTGGCAAGACTAATCAACGCTCCTGTCTATAGAGTTCGATCCACTCACCTAGATGAAATTTAAAAATTACTTGAACATCCCTGTGATCTGAGCAATCTGTGTGCTTAGATGCCATCTATCTCCTGGATTCCCTCTCCTCCCCTCACTGCACCTTAAACACAGTCTTTGTCCACTATCTAATCCACCCAGTAATTTGAGTTTTTGCACATGTCTGATCAAGTGAGGGCTGCATAATTCGTGCACAAATTTCCTAAGGATTTTCCATTCAAATTCCTGAATGCTGTTTTGAGGTTGTCTATTCTTTCTTAATCTGCTAATGGTATACCATTCGCATCACCTGTGACATTTGCAGTTCATAACCTGATAAACTAATCTATCTCAGGTTTACACTATCTGCAGTCCAAAACAAAAATGCATTTGTTTGGATATGCCTCGGCCTAAAGTCAGTTCCTGATCAGCAGGACTGTGGTTCGTATGCTAAAGTGCGTGCGGCTAGCACCAATAGCCTGGTTACCAGGCCATTAACTAGGAGCGCAGTTCTAGGCTCGGGCCACGGTGGCCCTTGAAATGTCTCAGGTAATCTAAAAGATTTGACAGCAGCTATGTGTTGGAGAAAATCTGCAGCCTGTTCAGGTTTCCCCAGAGATTGTGTCCTCTTCTGTTCTTACCACTCTACTTCCGCATTTTTTCGGCACACGAGATTCCGTCCCTACAGGTAGGGTATTTACGTAAATTAGAAGGAACAGTAGTGGCCCTAGTATTGATCCATGTATAATTCCACTCCTCACTAACGTTCTCTCTCTCTCTCTTCACAGGTCATTAAGTTATAAGATTTGAAGCTAGCCATAGTTGTCAGGAAGTGGAATAATCTAGAAAATGATGTGGTGGAGACAGGATCCATACATAGCTTCAAGAAGAGCCTGCCATAATAACTTGATTTAACATAAAAAAAAATAACTGCAGGCAACGTTCAGAAACTGACGCTGGGAATACTGGCAATCATCTCCATTACTCGGGATAAGATGCTTGTCGGTGCTACCGTCTTTAGTTCAGCACCACCTGTTTCTTTTTAGAGACTAAATTAACACGGCTATCTGGTAGTTATCCCGTCTCGCATACAACTCATTCGTACGTTGGTATGAAGCAGTTTTTGTTCCCTACACAATTTTCAAATGTTCTCATGTTCCTTCGTATCTATGCACAGCCGGTACAGCTTGCTTCCCAGTTTCAGTGTCCTTTGTATTGTATATTACTTTTTTCTTACTTTTGGCGTGATGGTAGCAGTAACGGTATACCATATCTGGGTGTCTTTGCTTTGGCCTCTTTGCAAGCCTCGACATTTCCTGTGTTCACCAGCAAGCTGCCTCAGGCGTCTTTTTTAGCATTCTTCTACAGTCTGGCTGTACACTCGATTTATATTAAATTTGTGCGTATGTTATGTATATTTTGTGCAGTGTGTGTCTTTACGGTGCGCGCGCGCAAGTATGCGTGTGAGCACGTGCGTATCAGCAAGGATGTATCTAATGTCCTACTTGAGGAAGGTACTTACAGTTCTGCTCTCTCCAGAAGGCTCGCACGCGTCGCTCATCAGGTCGCTACTCACCTGAGAAGAGTTAGAGAAAACGAGTTAATATTACATGATCAACGTTTTAACATTAAACAGCACGCCCTTAACACTCATCAATTTTAAGCTCACACATTTCCATGTATCAGTAGTAACACAATAACCTGAATATTGTTGCTTAAGTTTAACATAAGCAGCTGTAATATAGAACGCACTTCCTTCACCCCACTGCAAGGCAGTGTAAACAACTATCTTCTGACATACGAGCTGCTTTAATATGTGCATACCACCCAATACACTCACTTGGGAACAAAATTTACATATTTTAATTAAACGAGAAAGGTTCATAATATTCAAGGAATGACTGAAAAAACATTAATCATTTTCACAATGCCTAATAATAAAATTACTACAAGTCATTCGATTACAATAAAATCCATGATACTTGTGTCTGACAATCCTCCTATGATGACAGATAAGCAGCTAGTATAAGGAAGTACCATTACAGGGACAGCCTAGCTAGGTATGGCTCATTTCACAAGCAGTATCTTTATGAGGTGGAGTGCACGCACCTCGTGATAATGTTTAAATAACATGCCTTTACAAGCACCCTAAGCTTTCTTAGGTGAGAAGCTTGCGATGTAAACAATGTGACTTCAAACTCTGTACTATAATCACGCTGTCAAATATTCATCTTGTATTCACAACACCCGTAAATAAAAATCTTGATGAAAAGAATTTCGGTAATTCATACCTCTGATGAGTTTCAAGAGTCTTACTACTCTCGGAGCCCGACCATGGGCCAGGCTCGTCTGGTGCTTGCCTGGTCAACCAGGATGTTGCAACTGAAGGCCCGCTGCCCTACATATCCATCACAGCCAAGTTGGTCTGGTACATCATGTCAACACTTCGTTAAGTTTCTTCCATTTGAATATGTAAAGTGTTGTTCATAGTTAAAAATGTTAGGTTCATTTTACTTTATACAGCACCAGAAAAGTAAACTATTCTAAGTCTATTCCTCAATTCGCATCCATAATTATTTCCATGTCATCCCCACCCCCTATGGCCAGAGGCAAGCACTTTTAGTGAGGAGAGTGGCACCCTTTCCAGAGAAGAGGCAGACATTACTCCCTACGAGAGCAAGAGGGTCGACAGATGGTGTTAAATACTCCCCTCCCCCCATTGAGAAGAAGGGGTGCAAAGTGTGTCAAGGAACCTACTTTTCAATATCCTAGTTTCATATAAAAAACGGGATTACTAACAAACCCTAATTTTCCAAGAAGCAACTTAAGTTCAAGTTGGCTCGTGATCAACCAGACTGTGGTGCCTATGTTGGTGTGCGGGCTACCACCACCAACAGCTTGATTGATCAGGTCAACCTAGAGACTTGGGGGCGATGCCATGCGGATTCCACAAGTACGCAGATCATAACGTACTCCCGGACTTTACTGAACTTTGAACGCCAGTTGAGTGGATTACCATGGAATCAAAGTGCCCATCTACCCTTCTGGAAACACAGGAAGGGCCTTTATATATTTTTAAGATGCAATAAAGTAAGTTCTCCCTATTTATGAAGTCAGTTTTCCTATTCGCGAAGAATTCGCAAAACACTAGTATGGATAGTATTCCAAGGGTCAACGCCCTTGCAGCCCGGTCCCAGACCAGGCTTCCTGGTGAATGACCTGATCAACCAGGTAGTTGGTGCTAGCCAATGCCAACACCACAGCCCGTCTGATCAGGCACTGATTTGAGAAACTTATCTAGCTCCTGCTTGAAAATAGCCTGGGTTATGTTGGTAATCCTCCCTTATTTCCTGTATTCATTACACACCTGCTTTTCATTTGGTATTTCGCAATGTCTGCAAAAACCTAGTTGTACTTGCCTATTTGTGGTTGCGGAGGTCGAGTCACAGCTCCTGGCCCCGCTTCAACTGGCCATTACCCGGTCACTCTTCCCGCTCCGTGACCTTTATCACACCTCTTCTTAAAGCTATGTATGGGTCCTGCCTCCACCACATCACTACCCAGGCTATTCCCCACCTGACAACTCTGTGACTGAAGAAATACTTCCTAACATACCTGTGGTTTATCAGAGTCTTCAACTACCAACTGTGACCCATTGTTTGTTGTGTTCCATCTCTGGAACATCCTGTCTGTCCACCTTGTCTATACCTCTCAGTATTTTTTAAGTCGTTATCATATCCCCTCTATCTCTCCTGTCTTCCAGTGTCGTCAGGTCGATTTCCCTTAACGTCTCCTCGTAGGACATACTTCTTAGCTCCGGGACTAGTCTTGTTGCAGACCTTTGCACTTTCTCTACTTTCCTTACATGCTTGGCTAGGTGAGGGTTCCAAACTCTCACTGCATATTCCAATATTGGCCTAACGTATACAGTGTACGGGGTTCTCAATGACTCCTTATTTAGATGTCGGAATGCTGCTCTTAGGTTTGCCAGGCGCCCGTATGCTGCAGCAGTTATTTGGTTGATGTGCGCCTCAGATGTGCCCAGTGTTATACTCACACTAAGATCCTTTTTCTTGAGTGAGGTTTGTAGGCTCTGCCCCCCTAGACTGTACTCCGTCTGTGGTCTTCTTTGCCCTTCCTCAATCTTCATGTCTTTGCACTTGGTGGGGGGTTGAACTCCAGGAGCCAGTTGCTGGACCAGGCCTGCAGTTTGTCCAGATCTCTCTGTAGTTCTGCCTGGTCCTCGTCCGACTGAATTCTTCTCATCAACTTCACATCATCTGCAAACAGGGACGCTTCGGATTCTATTCCTTCCGTCATGTCGTTCACAAATACCAGAAACAGCACGGGTCCTAGGTCCTGTGGCACCCTGCTCGTTACAGGTGCCCACTCTGACACCTCGCCACGTACCATGACTCGCTGTTATCTTCCTGACAGGTATTCACTGATCCATTGCAGTACCTTCCCTGTTATTCCTGCTTGGTCTTCCAGTTTCCGCACTAATCTCTTGTGTGGAACTGTGTCAAACGCCTTCTTACAGTCCAAGAAAATGCAATCTACCCCCCCCCCCTCTTGTCTTACTGCTGTCACCCTGTCACAGAAATCCAGTAGGTTTGTGACGCAGGATTTCTCGTCCCTGAAACCGTGCTGGCTGTCGTTGATAAGTTCATTCCTTTCTAGGTGCTCCACCACTCTTCTCTTGATAGCTTTCTCCATGACCTTACACGTCTTTGACACTGGTCTGTAGTTTAATGCTTCGTGTCTTTTTTAAAAATTGGGACTACATTTGCTGTCTTCCATACTTCCGGTAGTCGTCCTGTTTGGAGAGAGAGGTTGAAAATAGCTGTTAGTGGTACACAAAAGCGCTTCTGCTCCCTCTCTCAGGACCCATGGAGAGATGTTATCCGGCCCTATCGCCTTTGAGGTATCTACCTCGCTAACAGCCTCTTCACTTCTTCCTCGGTTGTATGTACTGTGTCTAACACTTCATGGTGTAATCCTCCTCTCTGCCTTTCTGGAGGCCCTTCTGTCTCCTCTGTGAACACTTCTTTAAATCTCATGTTGAGCTCCTCGCATACTTCGCAGTCGTTTCTTGTGATCTCCCCTCCTTCCTTCTTCAGCCTGACTACCTGGTCCTTGACTGTTGTTGTCCTCCTGATGTGGCTGTACAACAACTTTGGGTCAGATCTGGCTTTCGCTGCTATGTCATTCTCATATTTCCTTTGGGCCTATCGTCTTACCTGTGCGTATTCGTTTCTGGCTCTACGACTGGTCTCCTTATTCTTCTGGGTCCTTCGTCTTCCATACTTCTTCCATTCCTTAGCACACTTGGTGGTTTGCCTCCCTGCACCTTCGGGTGAACTACGGGACCATCCTTGGTTTTTCATTATTCCTGTTACCCTTGGGTACAAACATCTCGGCTTCCTTGCATATTGTCACATATTTCATACCTCGTCCACTGACTTCCTTGCCAGTTCTCTGTTCCACTGAACCCCGTTCAGGAAGTTCTTCATGCTTGTGCAGTCCCCTTTCTTGTAGTTTGGTTTCATTAGTCCGGCCCTTCGTGCTTCCCCCTTCACTTTTAACTCTATGTGTTCGCACACACACATGTACTGTGTGTGTGTGTGTGTGTGTGTGTGTGTGTGTGTGTGTGTGTGTGTGTGTGTGTGTGTGTGTGTGTGTGTGTGTGTGTGTGTGCGTGCGTGCGTGTGTGCGTGCGTGCGTGCGTGCGTGCGTGCGTGCGTGCGTGCGTGCGTGCGTGCGTGCGTGCGTGAGCGTGTGCGCGTGCGGGAGGGGATGAATTCTAATCTGCACACTGTTAAGAGTGGGCGCCTTTGAGCACTACACCAAATCCCTCTAGAATTTTCCAGGTGTAGATTATAATGTACCCCTCTCGCCCACGTTCCAAGCACAGGTTTTGGGCCTTCAAACGATTCAAGTAACTTAGATGCTTAATTGAATTTATGGGGGCAGTGAAGGTTTTCTGCACATTCTCCAGGTTTGCTTTTCGCATGCCTTTAGCGGATCTGTTGAATACAGCAGTACTCCATCTAGAAAGAACAGGAGAGTTAGAGTATCATCAGTGTGACTTGGCATAGCTCTTGTTTTGAAGATTCTTAGTTATCCAGCCATTAATTTTTCTTGAGGTTGTAACAGAAACACTGCTGTGATCCCTGAATCTTGAAGGCGAGACGATTTGACAATCACTCCCAGGTCTCTCACATAAGTCTTAACACACTACTGAGTGATTCGAGTTTGTTTAATACTCCGTTCCAGTCTTTATTTCCTCAATCTTTCGATAACGGTGCAACAAACTAATCCTCACTGAACATCATTTCGTCGCCAGTGGCCCCCTGGAAGATTCTCTTTTAGTTAGCATGGAGGTGTGCTGCGTCTTCAATGGCTGCCCACTTTTGTAGATTCTAGTATCGTCTACAAAAGATGACACGGTACTAGGATTTATTCCTCTGTAAGATACGATAATGAGAAAGAACCAAGGAACAGTACTGTAACCTGGGGAACATAGCTCTTCACGTATACACGTACTAATCGTATTTTTTTTTTTTGAAAGTGCAA